TCTCTCTCTCTCTCTCTCTCTCTCTCTCTCTCTCTCTCTCTCTCTCTGTCTCTCACCCCCCCCTCAGCAATGAGGGTGCAAAAATAACAAAAGTAGAAGGAAAGGAAAGAAAATATACAAGACTAAAACAAAAAAGGGGGAGAGAGGAAAGGAAAGAAAATGGCAATAAAGAGAAAAGGGGAAACCAGAAGGAAAAAAAAACCCTAGTTTGGGAGACAAAATGGGGTGCATCAGATCTCTCTCCCCTTATTCTTATTCCTCCTCCTCCTGCTTTCTTCCTCTTCTTCTTTTGACCGGGGTCGGGGCTGAGGCCAAAGAATTAACTATAGCAGGATATGTGAAACCTCTGTGAGTTTTAGGCGGTCAGCCTCAGTTGGGAAGAGTGACAGGGCGGGACCAGGCCGAGGTCCGTCTGCAGCATCTCCAACCCACTAGAGTCCCACCAAGAGTTGGAACTTTGCAGATTCCAGGAAAGACCCAACGCAGAGCAAGCCCTGGCACGGTTGCCCGCCCTTTTGTCACCACCTTGTCCCAAGTAGTGACCTCGGGTCTTTTTTTTTTGCCCTTGTAAGCCACTAGGCCTAGGAAAGTCTGAGGACCCTTGGACTCTGCCACGAAGGTTAAGGAACTCTGCGTTTACAGCGCTCGGGGACTGAGGCTTTCCAGAGCGAAGGCTGCGCTGCTCGGCTGCGGAAACCCGGGCGCTGTGCAGTGCCCTGGAGCGCCACCTCGCTTCGGAAACTGGAATAACGCGGCTAAGCCTTCCACTCTACCGCAACCTAACTTGATCTTCACCCGTTCGATTTCCTTTATTAACATCTCCAAAGAAGCCTAAACGCCTAGGCCTCCTTCCCCACTGGCAAAAATAAATAATAATAATAAAAAATCATCCCTGACCCACATAGCTCAAAGTAACTGCACAATGAAAGAAAACTACAGAAGCACCATTTCACTAAACAAGGGTAGTCACCTACGCTGGAAAACTGCTTTCGGAGGAAAGAGAAAATGAATTACACACGTTGTCAGGAGGCCACCAGTTCGGACTGCGCTGTGTTTTTGAGTCATTCGGCTGTGGCCAATGCAAATGTCTCCCACGAAGCGGGTGACTATGAAGTTAGAACTTCCCAGTTATGATTTTCACAGAAATCCATTCATTGTGACCCGTGGGGGTATCAGAGAGTGAGAGAGAGAGAGAGAGAGAGAGAGAGAGAGAGAGAGAGAGAGAGAG